CAGTACTGAACTGGTCCTGAGTCTGATGCAGAACCTCTGCTCCAGCTGGGCCTAGTCTTAAAAGCTGCCCTCTGTACACATAATGCTCAAAAATTACAAACGTGCTCTAGAGTTGACATCTTTTCTCCTTCAATCTAATTTAAATTTATCCCATAACAAGTTAAGTCCATTTCATTCATCATTTGCAGAAATGTCCAAAATCATTCTCTTCCTTGCATCCATGCTCCTTTGCAATGTGGTTTTCTAGCTCCTCTCATCAAAGAGAATTCTCTACCCTTTGAATTTGGGCTGACCATGATATCAGCTTCGGTCAATACATGGAAGCAGGAGTGACGTGCCATTCCAAAGCCCAGGCCTTAAGAGGCCTTGGGATTTTTCTGTTATCTCTCTCAGAAGTCTGCCCGCTATGTACCATGCAAACAAGCTCAAGCTGGCCTGCTAGACAGTGAAGGACCACACAGCCAAGTCAACCCTGTAACCCCTGTGGCCTCAGCCAGCAGCCAGTTAATCCTCAGAGCAGGGGTCCTTAGCTGGCTTGTAGCTGACCATGGATGCATGAAAGGGCCCAGGAGACCAGAAGAATGTGCAGCTGATCCACCCTAAGTTGCTGATATGCAGAATTGTAAGCTAAATAAGTAGCTGCTGTTTTAAGCCACTAACTTATAGGGTTGTTTGTTCTGCAGCAATAGTTAACCAACACACCATCCGAAATATTCAGATGTTTGAAGAATGTAAGAAACTTCCAGTCAATTCACATGGCTTTTCAAATTTATGCTTTAATTTTAGTGCTCTCAACTTACAGTAATAAGAGAGAAAATAGAAACTAAAAAATGGTATTGCCAGCTCGTGGATAAACATCTCTACAAACCAGAAATTTCATGTGTTCCAAGATTCAAAATGGGGGAGTCGGTGGGAGTTTAGTCTCTGCAAAGTGAAGGGAATTAAAGAGATCCACCTGAGGCACAGTATGAACGCCAATTACCACTTGGAGCCAAAGGTTGTGGGAGTGGATAGCATCCCCACTTTTGCCAGCTCACAAAAAGAAAGCTTTAAAATCATCATCAAGTATTATCACTCCAGCCAGGCATTCTCTCCCACCTGACTGTTAAAACTAAAGATCAGTTCTCAGTTCTCATTTCACTAAGTGGAATCTGATAGTTGATCCTCTCAGATTTTCTTCCTTTCTGCATGAGGATACATAATGCTTTCCTGGTTTCCCGCTACCTCACGAGCCCCCTTTTTTAGTTTCCCTTTTAATGGTTCTTCCTTTTCATCCCAAACTCTTAATGTTGGAGGACACATGGATTCAATTCTTCCGTTCTTTATCCATATGCACTCCTTTGGTGATCTTATCTATGCTCATGGCTTTAAATATTATCTGCTTCCTACTTCCAATTTAAATCCTCAACTCAGACCTCTCTCCAAACTCCAGGCTTCCTTTTTTTTTTTTATTTTTTAAGAGCAAGATATGAAACATAAATAGGCTGAAATTAAATAATACTGTATAAATATGAAAATACACAATTTGAAATATTTGAAATCAAAATTATAGTTGTTTAGATGTTCAATAGTCAGAACAAACTCTAGACTCACAGCAATTACACAGGGAATCAATGAATTGGAAAAGATACTGAGGAATTATCCTTCCATGGTCAAAGATACAGAGAGATTTAAAAATATGAAACAAAATAAGGAACAGAATTTGAATACTGCAGTACATGCTGAATAGGATTTCTGAAGAAGAAAATAAGGAAGAACAATATTTGAAGAGAGATGCAGTAGAGAATTCCATAATGAAAAATGAGAAAAGTCCTTGGACTAAAGGAACACTCTGGGGACTTAAACTGCGTAAATAAAGAAAACCCACATCTACCAGACACATTGAAGTACGACTGGGGGGCATGAATATTAAAGCACTGAGAAATCTCCAGAGAGAATTATATTGTTTACAAAGAAGTCATAAGTGCACTGACAACAGATTTCTTATCACTAGTAATAGAGTTGGAACTCCACTACAAGAAATACTATAGGATTTTATTTACTAGGAAGCAAAATGAGCCTAAGGCATGAAATATAAGAAATAATAATGCATGTAAAAAGTGGTAACATTTAATTTGTTAATTATTAAATTAATCAAGTTAGCTTAATTATTGACCATAAGGACATACATATTGACCATACGTTTAATAATTTTTTGCATTTAAGAAAGGGTGAAATTAAAGCTCTACACAGCAACATCATGTTCAATCTCTGAGGCATATGTAATATCAAAGAGGACAGAAAATGAATAACTCTAGACTTAAAAGTTTATGAGTAAGTATACGTATTTTAAAAATTAGGGGGAATCACTGAAATTGACAAATTTATATTTATTAAAATACTATAGATGGAAACTTCATTAATTCAGTGGAAGGCAGAAAATGCAAGAAAAAGATTTTCTTTACAAAGCAAGAAAAAATTATGGTCAGGAGAAAATCCAAAATAAGAAGGCATAAGTTCAAATAAAACAAATATAAGAAGATTATATTAATCTTTGTAAATAGTATCAATTTGTTTTTTAAAAAAACCAGCCACATGTGCTTCTTATAAGATACACAATGAAAACAAAACCAAAGAGAAAGACTGAATGTAAAGAAATAAAAAAAGGGGTACCATGCAAATAAAAATAAAGAAGAACATGGTATATCAATATTTATATCAGGCTAAATATAATTAAGGCAAAAAGCACTACATAATAATAGAAGCAGTAATCCACCGAGAAGTAATATTCATGAACTTGTGTGCAGTTAATAGCATAACTCTGAAAACCACAAAGCCAAAGCTGAGAGAACTAGGAGAAATCACCAAATCTCCAATTGTAGTGTAGGTTACCAAGATTAAAATGAAAATTTAGCAAGAATTGAAAAGGTTTAAACAACAACAAATCTACTAGATATATAGAAAAAAGTTCTTATACCCAACAGTAGATTCAAATACATTTTTACGTAATATTACCACCTATTAAAATCACAAAAGAAGTCTCCACAAGAGTGAAAGGACTGTCATAGAGACCATTGCTTTTTGACTATAATGAAATTTGAAATCAAAAATGAAAAGAAGTTAATAATTATAACATGTTTGGAAACTAGTAAAAGAAAACCTTCTAAAACATGGATTAAAGAGGAATTCACAATAGAAATGATAAAATACTTAGAAGTAAGTGACAGTGCAAGTTCCTCATATCACAACCTGTGAGAGCTGGACCAGGAAAAAAATGCTGTTAAGAATATTTTTGAGGTAACCAACAAAATTTGAATAAGATCTGTAGATTAAATAATAGTATTATATACATTTCCCGATTTTGATAATTATACTTTGTAGTAACAGAATGTCTTTGTTCTTAGAAAATGTACACAAACTATTTAGGAAAAAAGGCATGTAATGCCTGAAACTTATTCTGAAATGGATCAGATGATGATGATGATGATGAGGGTGACCAGATCCAGAGAGAAGTAAAGTGAATGGGATAAAGGCTATCCCAGAAATGGCGAACCTGGGTGAAGGGTATACAGGACTTTTTCTTACACTATTTTTGTAATTTTTTTATAACTTTGAAATTACTTCAAAATAAAAAGTTAAAAAATCTGTAACATGTATTTACATCTAAAAGATTTTTACTTGAAAATCTAAACAGTTCTGACCTTTAAAAGGATAGTAATTTACCAGTCATAATTTCCCTTCTGAAAGGTCTCTGTCTCACTGATTAAACAAAATCTGTTGTGTGAGAAAACTGTATATTCTGCAAATTAGCAGAGTTGACCATGATACCTGTTGTATATAAAACAGCATCCTACAGTTGCCAGCACCATTCATTAGCAATTGCCTTGGGGATAAACACAGGCCAGGGACTAAACAATGATGTCACACAATTGTTTTAAATAAATGAACCAAAAAGACAACTTGTGCCACATTCCAACTAGGTCATAAAAGCATATTTAAGGAGCTTCAGTCCTGGGATCTCGCTAAGCCTATTATACTACTCTGTTTTGACTTTTCTTTCCATGTGCCATAATTCAAAACAGAGACATTCAATCTCCCTTTAAATGTTTGCTGAGAAATCTGCCTCTTGACTTCAGAAGACCGCTGAAGTGTCAACATATTACTGAGAGATTGTTTCCAGGCGCTCAGCATTATGTAGATGATAGACTCTGTGATGGAGGACGAGAGCAGACAGGGACAAACATTATGGTGTCACCAAAGAGGAAGAGTGAGGGTGGAGGGAGAAACAGAGAGATGAGAAGACAGACTGAGGATCAACATGTGGTTTCGAGAAGAGCTTTAGGGATAGGTTCAGAAAAATCTACTAGTCCCAACGTGTTCACAAGATCTCTCTGTTGCGAGACAGACCTTTTTTGAGTTTGGAGAGGCTTTTAGACTGGGGGCTTTGGGAGGGTTGCATGGTAGGGAATAATTGCTGGAGATGGAAGAAGAGGACATGGATTCTAGATGCGTGATATCCCGGATTTCACAGCAGACAATGGCGGGCGGAGTAGGGTTGGCCGGGTGGATCTTGAGGACCTTACCCATTTTGCAGCAGATCCCCTGTGGGGGCCTCCTCTGCGATGCCATTCTCCCCGGCCCATCAGACTTACAGTCTGGGTCCTTTGTTACTTGGCAAAGACACAGCAACATTTAGGTCAATGGCACTCACAGCTTATTGACAGCCAGAAGACTAAGCATATAATGGCACTTTTAGAAGACAGCACAGTTTAGGTTTCTAATGAATTGTCCATCTCTTCATTTATGTTGTTCTGTCTATTTTAATTAAGATTATTTCAGAAGACAGAACATAGGACCAATTCTAGAACTACACATTTCATTACTGGCTAGTACAGAGACTCAGGAGTTACCTGCAATTTTCTGCGTTGTGCCTGTACTCTCTAGGGAGATGGCCATGCTATATGGTTTCCAGTCCTGGTTCCTATTTAACCTGACCAAATCCCTACTGTCACTTCCTACAGATAATCTTTCCAGACTGGATAGATCAAGTCGAGAATCCCTAATCTACCAGACATCAGTGCCATGACCTCTTTCTAACCACTATTCCTCCATATGTATTGGCTTTGAAGGAAAAAGAAGAAAAATCTGGACTAGATGAAAATAAATATCTCATACAGCAATCAGTGGGGGTTCTGGCAGAATGTTTGGAGCATTAGAAGGTTAGTGCTGAAGGCAGCAGTGTTTAAACTTTTTCTATTAGCTCAAACTTTATACAGATACCCACAATGCAAAATAATAATAATAATAATACATATACCAAAGCATTTCACTGAACATTATTTGAATACCTCCAGCTTAGAAAAATGAGGTCCAGAGAAATGGAGAACCATACCCCAGGCATACCAGCTAGTTGGTGACAACCCTGGGACCACAGCCTTTGGGCCTTAGAAGCATTTTCTCACTGTCTGGAAGTCACTGCATCATGAAAAAAGAATGGCAGAGACTGGTTTCTGTCCCCAGTAATTTTCAGTGTAAGAACGACTGTGAGAGTCAGCGCACACGCAAAACTATTTTTAAAGCCCTCTGAAAACTAGCAGCCAGGCTAAAATTTTTGGCGGAATTTATGTGAATATTCAATAGACTGTGCCTCCAGGAACTGTCACTGACTTTTCCCCTAACCCCAACCTGAGGTACAGGCCATGGAGACAGTGCAGAGAAGCAAACACAGGCAGAGATGCAGAGTGTGTGTATTCTGAGGGACCCATGGAGGGCCTCATGATAGTGCCAGCTTTCTTCACTCTGGACAAGACATACATTAGGCCTGCCATCACAAATGCTTAGTTTGGCACTTTTCTTTGTTTGTCTTCCAGGAAGAATAGAGAGAATGGGTTGGAGAACACTATTTCACATAATAACGTGATTATACTTCTACACTATTTTTAAACTTTGCAAAGTTCACCCACGTACTGCACGTAAGAATGTTTGACAGGAACTCTGTGAGTGCATAAGAGTGGTGTTATCCTTTTCCTGCCAACAAAGGAAGTGAGGACAGAGCAGTCAGGTGGTTTGTCCAGGGCCACTGCATAAGTTGGTGACAGATGGGATGATCAGTCAGTAACTGAGGGAGGAGCACATCCTTTTATTCCCATCGGACTCTAGACTGGATTCAGATTCTGCTTTTTGGCCAACATGGCCTTAGACCCAAACAGAGGGGCTGGTCCAATTTGGAGAAATAAAACAGAAAAGATATTCCAATGATGCATGGATCAGAAAGAAAATTGAACAGCAAGATGCCTATAATTAATAATAATGTATAGTTCAAAATTGCTAAAAGAATGCATTCTAATGTTTTTACCACAAGAAACTAATAAGTATGTGACGGATTCATTAAGAGGCTGATATGATCATTTCATAATGCATACATGTATCTAAACATCACATTGTATACTATAAATATATACAATGGTTGTCACTTTAAAATAAAACAAAGTTTGAAAAATTACAGAAAGATGGTAACAGGCATCATGGAATTCCTTCTGACGTGTGTGTTCTTCAGAATTGTTTATAGATCATTTACATCCAAATGCAGATTTGAATTTGGTCGGTAACTTCTAGAACTTTACATTTACATATTCTTTGGAACCTATTTGCTGGTTAAAACTGCCCCTTTCTACAAAAAATTTTAAGGCAGCTTATTTCACTCCTGAAGTAAGGCCGAACAACGTTCTAAATGAATAGTGGACTTTGAAAGAAACATTCGCGAGAGTGCCAAAGAGAGCTCCAGGAATGAGAGGACTAATTTGGCAGCTGTCAGGACAGATCAGCTCATAGAGTGAGAAGTGGGTTGAAGGAGGAGCTTTGCCTGCAAGGACAAAGCTGGGCATGTAGGTCCGATTTTTCAAGCTGCCTCTCTTCTGGGGAGCCACCCCTAAAACCCAGCATGCCTTTTCACCTCATGAGATGCAAGTAGAATACTACCTCTGGCACAAAGTTCATTCCTATTTCCATGGCATTACCGGGGACTGAAACATCCATGCTCAGAAGTTGTCAAATAACACATTTTTTTTCCAGTGGCTTGTCTGAGCACTCCTGGAATTCCTTTAAAATACAGAAGAATGAATAACCCTGGTTCTCATTTCTGCAGAGAGGGCTGGGAAAGGCCCAGACACAACCTGCCAATGTTGCAAAATTCGTGAGGCAAATGAAGTGAACAGACTGCTCCTTTTCAGATCAAAACCTGTTAAGGATTTAGGTGTCTTTTTGGCAACCCCGGGTTTATTCATATGCCTGTTTCAACTGTTCCAATAGCTTCAGGAAATAGCAAGGTGGGGCAGCCCACAAGAAAGCCAGCATCATCCTCAAAGGATGCTTACAGTTACAGAAGAACGAACTTGGCTAAAAACCCTTTTCAAGTAAGGAATCATTTCCCACTCAAAGAAAGTTTCTGATCACCCCAGAAAATAATCCTGGGAACTTCTGAGTCATAGAATAAATATGAATATCAAAGAATAGGCTTACATGTTTGGGGAACATGGAACACTTTCTTTTTCTAAGCCTCAGACAGCATTCCTGAGGAGTGCATCTGCCTTGAGTTCAGGGAATTGAAAATCTGTCCTTGGTGTGGCAGTGGACTAGCTCATCGACCTTGGGTTAATCATTTAATTTGGGATTGGCAATTCATAGTCAAAACCATGACTGCTGTGATCCAAGAGAAGCAAGCCTGCCTGGGCATGGGGGCTCAAAGGTTATAATTTTAAGGATTTATTCCTTGGGAGTGGAGGCAAAATGCTGATGGTAAAAAAGTGGCCCAGATTCAAATGCCTGAACAGTGAGTTTTACCAGGTCCCCCACACCATTCAGTAAGCTCTCTAGGATTTTCAGTGGGCCTGGGAGGTATAACTCACTTTGGCTCAGAGCGATGAAAGCAGTACATGGGTGGTTTACTAGAATATACAATGGGAGAGTTGAATGAGACCTGAGTAATGATGCTTTTGTTCATCGCTTGTCTCATCTGAGCAAACTTCTGGACACATAAATTTAATGTTCTCATCCTCTGTTTAAAATGGCTTTCCACCGTTCCAAAATAAAAGCCTAAGTCCTCCACACTCTGTGTGCAGGTGATCCAGCCCCTGCCTACCTCGTTATATCCTGGTTTTCCTTGTTCCCTTTAATCCAGCCACACGGATTTCACTGCAGCTCCTCCAATGAACTAGCTCTTTATATCTCGAGCATTCTCTAACCCCTCTTTACTTTTTTGAGAGGCAGTCTCATTCTGTCACCTAGGGTGGAGTGCAGTGGTGAGATCATGGATCACTGTAATCTCTGCCTCCTGGGTTCAAGCAGTTCTCCTGCCTCAGCCTTCCAAGTAGCTGGGATTACAGGCACCTGCCACAATGCTCAGCTAATTTTTCTGTATTTTTGATAGAGATGGGTTTTCACCATGTTGGCCAGGATGGTTTCGAACTCCTGACCTCAAGTAATCTGCCCGCCTTGGTCTCCCAAAGTGCTAGGATTATAGGTGCGAGCCACTGCACCCGGCCCCCTCTTCAGTTTTTAATTTTTATTTTTTCAATGCTCAGCTCAAATGTCACTTCCTCATGCCACTTCCTCTGAGAAGCGTTCCCTGAGGCTTCCCCTCCCCATACACATTAGATCAGATAAAGCCTCTTATAATATTCTTGCAGAACATCCTATTTTTTTGCTTCAGGGCCTTTATCACAATTGATAATTATATACTTACTTTTATTTATTGAATTAATTCCCAGTCTCTCCCAGTGGATTACATGCAGTGTCTGTTTCACTTGTCATTGTATCTCTAATGCCTACCACAAGTGCCTGGCAGGTAGCAGACACAACTGCTTGTGAATGAATGAACAGTCTCAGCGATTCTTCACGGATGAAGGTGATATAAAGTAGTAGCTGGCAGCTCTACTCTGGAAGTCCAGAATACTTCTCTGATTCGCACCTACAAGCCTTATTGGTTAATGACTATTGATATTCCAGCCACACAAACAACTCCTTTTGGAGAGGCATTAATACTGTGAATAAAATGAATCTATTCTTTTCATACGTTTGGTTCAGAACACTAGGGGAATTTGAGAAGAGATGAGCCAGCCCCCAGGCTGTCCTGCTTTCTTTTATTAAGAATAGACCATGATTTGAATATATTCTACCACTTGCCTCACTTCTGCCTATTGCTGGGAATTGCACAGGGAAAAGTGAGAGTCTGTGTGTGGGGACTCTGGCTTGGCAATGACACAGAAATATCCTAAAGAAATATGCTGACGATGGGGTTTTATCTCCTCAATGCACTGGAGACAAAACCCCTGCTTTTAAAAACAACATTCATACAGAGCCAAGGATGTCCCAGAGTCAACAGTCCTAACCCTTTCTCAGTCTGCCTAAGAGGTCATTGGTTTCAGATGGATGAGCCAAGGACTTGCCACTTAGAGACTGCTGTCTATGTCAACCCAGCTGACATAAGTAAAGCACCTACTGTTTATAGTAGGAGTCTGTAAAATAACAGAAGAGGCAGACTATTGAAGGCTACTGATCTATCTGCGTAGACAGACAAAAATAAAAAAACTGGAGAATTCCAGGAATACCAAAAAGGAAGAATGTGATGGTATGGTAGACTATTTCTGAACAGTGAACTTCCCCTGCATTAAGGACGAGATCCCTATGAACTGGGGTCATTTAGGAAGTCTTCTTGGAGAAGAAAAGTTTGAGCATACCAGGAAAAAATGTTGGATTGGGGCAGAGAGCTAAGCTGTCAGTAGCTAGGCAAATAGTAAGTAGGATGCTTGGAGCTGTGAGTTGTGCTAAAGGAGTTGTAATTTGGGATGCCTCTAATTAACCATTTTGGAAAAAATCTAATAAATCCCTTTGTAGCATCTATAATAAACTGCCCAATATCTAGGTGATGGAGGAAAAAGTTTTATTCTGCTTTTCACGTGGATGGTGATAACACTAGGTAATCTCAGCATCTTTCTGATTCTCTTGCTAATCCAGGATTCTAAGTGGTAATCACTTTGTTCTACAACCTGAATCTTATAACTTGTACTGTGCAGTTTTGCTTACACTTATTTTTCCTGTTGTCTCAATC